AACACACTATTGTCTTTAAATTTTTAATGGGTTTGACTTGACAAATATCAAATGAGCTGGATAATTAAGTTTGACACAGACTTTTCCAGCGGGCTATTTAATTCGATTCGTCTCATTCCACAGTCCGTTATCCATTTTCATTTATTTTTTTTTCTTTCGCCTCCAATAATTAATTCGACATCATTTCCTAGAAAAAGAGAAAACTCTTACAGAGTTGATTGCAAACATATTCGACTTTATTTGTTTGATCGACAAGTTCGATTAGCTATTTGAGTTTGACTTGTTTAAATATATAAGCGATTCGAGATTGAGTTTTTTCAATTCAAACCGACATATGTTAGCAGATAATTTGTTTATAATCATAACTAAAACCAGTTACAGGCCGAAACCGTCGATACCTGGCTGAGAGTTGGAGGAGCATGAACCAACGCAAACATATGTACAGGTCGGTTCACTGAATTGTCGATTACTGGTCGTCCGATTAATTAAAAAATACAAAATAATTAGAATAATATTTAAAAAAAATGAACCTCGGGTTCCGGTTCCAGTTCGAAACCAAAACTGCATGTTCAAAATGTATAAATTGTAAAGTATTGTACATGAACCGAACTGGTCAAAACCATGGGTTTGTTCAAGACCATGGTCGACGGGTCCGCTTGTGTCGGTTTGGGCCGAACTGACATGCTGGGTCGGCCCATGACCATGTCTACAAGGTTCCAATAATAGCTAGCAGCCCCAGGTTAAAAAAATTCCTGGCTACGCCCCTGCCATTGACTATGTGAAGTCTAAGGAAAATTTGGCTGATCCTTTGACGAAAGGATTGAATAGAGACCAATTGACAGTTTTGCTAGAGGGAATGGGCTTAAAAATCCACAATGTAAAGAATGATCATAGTGGTAACCCTACCACGCTGAGTGGAGATCCCACGAACTTGGTTCAAAGGGAAAACTAAGCTATGAAAATTCAGTTGAGCACTTGGAACATATGAATGTCCAAAGCTATTCCCTAGAGCACTCCAAGTGCAAGATAACCTGTTGATTGTGGTGAGGGTAAGTCATATGGACTTTTAATGAATCCCTAACCTTGTAAAGGTGGAGTATGGCAGGATACTCTTGATAGGGAGATCACCTATATAAGTGTGAAGTGTGGGCCGCTTCAAATGTAAACACTTATGAATCCATTATGTTGTCCATGGCCAAAACGGACACAACGATAGAACGGAATGGTGTTAAGACTCTATTGTGTGAATGTTATTGTCTAGGTGTACACTATGGAGGAATAGTTCAAGGCATTATGTCCACTAGGCCGCCAGTGCATAAATTCATTTCACTCATGTGGGGGATTGTAAATTATTGAGTGCAAATAAATGTGAGTGGGAACCCATACCTCATTATCTATTTGTGAGTGGGAACCCATACCTCATTATTTTCTATACATTATCATTTCTTGAATTGCGTGAAGTAATTATCATCAGATTTGTCTATATCACAAGATTTGTCTATATCCCAATTGTATTGAATTGCCAATTTCCTTGCACCACTCCACATTGGCCAACTAACACAGACAAATTGTATCCAAACCTCTATAAATAAGGTATCTGCTCATTTGCGAGAAGACAGAAGAAAACTGTCTGAGAAAGAAAATATTTTCAGAGGAAAATATAGAGAGAAAAACATATAATTTATATGTTATAGCAAAAGAGAGATAATTTTATTTCTATTTTAAGTGCTCAATTCTCGACTCCGTTCTCGTTCGCCGGAGCTCGTAAATCTGGTGTGCTACAGATTTAGAGACGTTTGCCGTTGTATCTTTGGGGAAGTTACGCCTGAACCGTTAGCTGCCACACGGGGCGTATTCTTCTTGCGGAAAGAGTTTTACTCGCCTCGGCTAAAATCTTTCCGTTTTTTCAGTTGTAATTTATTTTCAGTTCAATTGTAATTTTTTATTCTAGATTATTTGTAAGAACTGAAATTTCATATCAGTTCGTAGGATTCCCGTGTAATTTTGACACCAAATATCCAACAATCGCA